AAGACCTAAATAGACATTTCTCCAAAGAAGATATACAGACTGCCAACAAACACATGAAAGAATGCTCAACATCATTAATCATTAGAGAAATGCAAATCAAAACTACAATGAGATATCATCTCACACCAGTCAGAATGGCCATCATCAAAAAATCTAGAAACAATAAATGCTGGAGAGGGTGTGGAGAAAAGGGAACACTCTTGCACTGCTGGTGGGAATGTGAATTGGTTCTATAATATAACTGATTCACTCTGTTATAAAGCAGAAACTAACACACCATTGTAAAGCAATTATACCCCAATAAAGATGTTAAAAAACAAAACAAAACAAAACAAAAACAAAAAGAGTCATGTACCAAAATGTTCATTGCAGCTCTATTTACAATAACCAGAAGATGCAGACAACCTAAGTGCCCATCGTCGGATGAATGGATAAAGAAGATGTGGCACATATATACAATGGAATATTACTCAGCCATAAAAAGAAACGAAATTGAGTTATTTGTAGTGAGGTGGATGGACCTAGAGTCTGTCATGCAGAGTGAAATAAGTCAGAAAGAGAAAGACCAATACCGTATGCTTACACATATATATGGAATCTAAGAAAAAAAAATGTCATGAAGAACGTGAAGCAGTAAGACAGGAATAAAGACACAGACCTACTAGAGAATGGACTTGAGGATACGGGGAGGGGGAAGGGTAAGCTGTGACAAAGTGAGAGAGTGGCATGGACATATATACACTTCCAAATAGATAGCTAGTGGGAAGCAGCGGCATAGCACAGGGAGATCAACTCGGTGCTTTGTGACCACCTAGAGGGTTGGGATAGGGAGGGTGGGAGGGAGGGAGACGCAAGAGGCAAGAGATATGGGGACATACGTATAACTGATTCACTTTGTTATAAAGCAGAAACTAACACACCATTGTAAAGCAATTATACTCCAATAAAGATGTAAAAAATAAAATAAAAATATGAAGGCATATAATGTGGAGTAGAAAAAAGTATAAAGGTGGAAAAAAGAGGTGGAATAAAAATAAAAATTAGGAATTGCAGGCAATGGCAAAGCTGCATTTCCAACAGAATTCAAGTTGGGAGTGAGTGGTAGGAAAAGACAGGAAGGGTATTGACTAGATTGAGGACAGAAAAGATGTAGGCATACAAAAAAGATAATGATGAAAGATACAGAAGAGGGTCAAAGGGTTTTAAAAAAACACATTTATAGTAACAGGACTCCAATATATTTTAAATTATTTTATATTTATTATTTTAAATGAGAACCCTCCCCCCCCAAAATTAAACAATCCATAGTCCATACTGCTGTCAAGAAACAACCTTGTTAAGACATACACCTTATGTGTTTCCTCACTGCATACACAGATGCTAAACACTTAAGAGAGAGGTCCTTTAAAACCTCACTCTAATTATTCTTACCTATTTCCTTATAATTTATACATGCCACATTTTAAATTTTTTAATATGTTCCAAAATTCAAGATTCAACAGAGTATATACTGAAAAGGCTCTCCTACCCGTAGTTCATTAGCCATCCAGTTCCTTACCCAGAAGGTAACCAATGTTAGCAATGTTTGTGCTTCCAGAAATCCCAATATTTTACATATATACAAATACAGGCAAATTTGTTTTAGGTTATTTCTCCTTTTTATATAAATGATAACATACTATAAATACTACTTATGGAATGTATCCTGGTATTCCCACCCTCACAAATGCTGTTCTTTATTCCTGCCATTTTCTTGTTTCTGCACCTTGTGAACTGTATACATACCCTCCACTGCCCAGTGCACAACCTCTTCTCGACAGCCTTTGACTACCCAAGACGAACACGGCTGCTCTCTTCTGTGAAGAGCCTCATACACACTCTCTTACAGTGAAATTATAACATTTAACACATTATATTTTACTTACCCATTTCACTCCTGTCTCCCCCATTATATTTTAAAAACATAAATTTAAAGGCACAAGGTGTGATTCATCTCTAATTCCCTCTCACCCATACCCAGGATCTAGAATATATCTACACAGAGAAGTCATTAAATAAATTTTATGCTAAATAAACATCACAGTTAATAACAAAATATATGAGTCATATTTCCCAATATCAACATTTCCTTTCAGAGGGCAATTGTCAGGTCACATATCTAAAGAGAGCCAAACAAACTGTTGCATGAAAAAACACAACACAGATGTTTTCTTATCGAATTCTACAATTTGCCTAAAACTGTTTGCTACCAAATACAAGCTCTGCCTTGCTGTCATTATAAGGCAAGAAGCTTTAAAGGATAGTGTGTATTTTGCCTGGTAGGTGTGTGAGATGGTCAATTAACTCTGAATAAGTGAATCTAGGAAAACTAAAGGTAGAGGATTAATAAAGATACTCAAACAATTTAAAATTCAAACAATTTTTTCAGAGTTTCAAATTCCTGTCCTACATTTCATTTTTAAAATGGAGAATAAAATTGAGCATGCTTTGGGCTTCCCTGGTGGCGTGGTGGTTGAGAGTCCGCCTGCCGATGCAGGGGACACGGGTTCGTGCCCCGGTCGGGGAGGATCCCACATGCCGCGGAGCGGCTGGCTCAGTGAGCCATGGCCGCTGAGCCTGCGCGTCCGGAGCCTGTGTTCCGCAACGGGAGAGGCCACAACAGTGCGAGGCCCACATACCGCAAAAAAAGAAAAAAAATTGAGCATGTTTCAACTAACCTTTCAAGTGCCTCCTAAATTCTGCTAAAGAATTTGCAAATGAGCAGTAAAAAAGAAGTAAAGCATCAAGAAAGAGTAGAAAACCCAACAACCAGGACATCCCATATGCTGAATATCAACCTGTGAACAATTAGAGCTTACTACAAAATATAATTAAAAGCAATATAAAAAATATGTTTAGAACACTTTTAACAAACCATTGGTTCTTAATTGGCTGACCCCAATTATCCAGAAAGCTCACATTATATTCAAAATGAATCATTTCTGTAGGCAGCTTTTAACTGTATTTGTAAAATAACTCAACCTAGTGTGCACAATAAAAAGACTAAGAGTCAAAGACAAATACTGTAGTGAATAAACACTTTTTACATCATAAAAATAAAAATTTACTGAAAATGTGTATCAAAAACTCCTGCCACTGTAATATTACTGTGCTAACATATTATTAACAGAAGTGTAAAACCTCAAAACAGCAAAAATAACTAAATAAGACTACTAACAACACCAAAAAAGCCAAATAGCTCTTTTGCATTAGCTACACTAATTTTCTGTGTCTTTCCAGTCAATTTTATGAGGCACGAAATGTATCTGTGAGGTCCATGTGCTTTGTTCCCAACACTAAGTGATTTCTACTACTGCAAAGATTAAAATAGTTTCAATAATTGTGGGTAATCCAAAAATAAATGGGAATTAGTACTGTATTGTTCCAAAATGATTTTATTTTAACCAAACTCTTCAATGCAGTACAAAACTAAAATGACCTACTTCAATCTACTGGGAGTTTCCTAATTATTAAACCATAGAAAAATGAAAGGAGATTATAAGGGCTCTATTTTCAGTTTTTTTAAAAATCTAAACTAAAAGCCCATATATTTAACTATATGTGGCCTCTGATAAACATAAACCAGCATATTCATTTAGAAATCAAGAGACAACTGTAACATGTTAAAATGTGCTCCTTCAATAGCATCTGATATCAAATGCTTCCACTTCCTTATAAGCACTGATGCAAAACCAAGGTAAAGATCTCAAAACAAATGAAATCTAAATTCGAATTTTGCCCATGGGAAAGGATGCTGTTCAGCAATTTAAACCTTAAGTAGTTTTCAGATCTACGTAACAGCAGGATAATCAAATAATATGCTCCTTCATAATGACCTGTACACGGAAACAATCAGGATCTGCAAACTTCACCTCAAAGAATAAATCTGCTATGGTTTTAAATGCATTGTATCAATATGTATTATGGTACACATACTTCTAAGGTAGGGAGTTATCATTACAATACATATTCCATAATTAGGAGATGCATTTATAAAGAAAAGAATCATTCGGAAGAAATTTCTTTGGACGGTTGTGCAATTTGTCACCATCTCTTTTTACAGCTGGTCATGAATGAAATTCTAGCGTCTACTATGCTGAACTGATAAAGCAACTGTGACTGAAAATATCCAAAATGGAACGAAAGAGGTGGGGGCGGAGAGAGGATGAGAAAGAAGGGCCGGGTCTCTCTTCAATTGCAAACACAGTTGAGAAAACAAAAATAACACCATGAAATAGATTTTGTATGCAACTGGTAAGGGGCGACACGCATCAACACAGGATGCATGCTACACGCACCGACCCGACCCACGACCTACAACACAAGAGGGCTCCGCAAAACCTTCACAGGAGAGAACAGCGCTAGTTCCCCATTTATTTACTCATCAGGTTAGCCTTTCAGACGTAAACCCCTTAAGTCTCTAAGGCAACCCTGGGAACTGTGTAGCCAGTACACGCTCTGCAGAAGCTCGGTTCCCTTCTAGAAAAGCGAGAGCTGACGCGCAAACACCTGGGCGGGAGGGGAAGAATTTCGGCGCGTGGGAAGCAAAGGAGTGCCCGGGGCACCAGTTAAGGCCGGGAGGCGGGGAGGATGGGGTCTGGCTTTGGGGAGAGGGACTGGAGCTGAGTCTCTGGTGATGAGGGGCGTTGGGCCCGGCCCTTCTGATGAGCCTGTGCTTGGGATTTGGGACCGCGAAGGAACAGGGGAGCAACCTCGAGGGGGGCGGGGAGCATGCTCGGGGAACCATCTATCAAACACCCCACCGTGAAGAGAGGACACAAAGGGCAGGAGAAAGGGGCCGCGGGGGGCTGCGGAGTTTTCCGGGGCGAAGCAAGCGGGGACAAGGTTGGGCTAAGGGGACAGGAGAGGCGCGGGGAGCCGACGCAGGGGAAACCCACGGAGGGCCAGGCTGGAGGGGCCCGAGCCTCGGAGCGCCCAGGGAAGGGAGGGCGAAACCTCACCTGATACTCCGGATACTCAAACATGTAGCTCATACTACACTTGTTTTCCTCAAAGCCGAAGAAGACGTCCCACAGCCCCAGGGTCGCCATGAAGACCATGAGGGCATAAAACGCCAGGTTCCAGAGATTGACGGAGTGGAGGAACATGGTGCCGCCGCCGCCGCCGCCGCCGCCGCGGGACCCCTAGCCCTGACTCAGGGAGCCGAAGAACGCCCGGCTGCCAGCCTGGGAGCTAAGCCCAAGCACCGCGCGCCTGCGTGGGCTCCCGGCCAGCCCGCGGGCCCGCCGCGCAGTGCGCCTGCGCGTAGCCTCTCTGCTCACCTCCCGCCTGCAGAGAGGTAGGCGGCGTTTGCTGTGGGAGCGCGAATGAGAGGGCCGAGAAGGGAGAAGCCGAAGTGGGCTGGGTTGGAGGGTGAGGGGAGAGGGGGGAAGGGCGCGAGGAAAAGGAAAAGGAGAAAGGGGAGGGAAGGGCAATGAGAGGCTGGCCGGAGGGAAAGAAGAAGTGGGGGGCGGGGCGGTACTAGCGAGGGATGGGCGGAGCGCGGGGTCCTGCAAGCGAGGAGTGGGAAGGGCTGGGGGTGGGCGTCGGGGCCGCTAACCTGGAGACGAGGAGGCGATTAATGATGGTGAGCCAACCGGGAGGGGGGACATCAGAGCCCGGAGACCATCAGCTGTCACGTCGCGAACACCTCTCCTGCGCAGCTTAAAAACCCTAACCGTTCCATTTTGAAACGCCTCAGGCCTCCGCGATTTCGGTTCTCCCAGCGGTGGTGGAGCACATTCACAGCTCTCTGGACCAGTTAGCTTAAGCAGGGAACAAATGGCTTTTTCTCCCCGTCTTTGACCGCCGACGCCGGCCCAGTAGGTAACAGCGCTTAAAAGCACGGACTCTTTAAAAACCACCACCAGGTCGACGAGATTCTGGTCTTGGTATAAGATGAAAGCCTGAATCACAAAAAGCATCGTTAGTCTTTAACGTTACCAAATTTTTCATTAACACTGATGCCCCCGATAGGTATCTTGCGTGATCCGTTTATCGCTGACTTGCCTTTTACTCCTCAGAATCTCCTCCACCCCTTTGGAAATTGGTTCCACATTAACATGTGGAGGCACATTCGCTCAGGCTTCCACTCAGACTCCCTCAAGTGACTTAATTCATTTAGATGAATTTCGGTTTGGTGTTGCACAAAAAGGGGGTAAAAAGCAGCTCAAAAACCATTCACAATCACACATAGCAGCTTCAAAACAGTGTCTGTTCGGAGTTAGAAAGACACGGTAGCACCCTCTAAAGCTGACCCAACAGCAGATGGGGTGTGTGCGTGTGTGTAGCTAACTGCCGAATTCTTCTGAGGATTATTTTTGGCACTGACTGAATTTCATTTCGCTTGGGCTGATTTTCTAGTAATTTTTCTGTGCACAGGAAATTTGGCTGATACATAAAATCAAATAATTTTAAAACTGAAAGGAAGCTTATAGTTTATCTCATAGGATACTGTGATATTCAGATATGAGAGCACCTGGGGTCCCGGGTGGAATTAGGGAGGAGTTTGTGCAGGGCATAAGGAGTCATTTGAGAAGGGATTTTATATTATACATCTAAAAGGGAATACTCAATAGTCTGGGATCTCAAGAACATCACAGGCAGGATGTTTGCGCCTTGTTTCCCCTAGCGTATCACGCTCAGCACAAATAAACCAAGGGTGAAGCTACACTCTCATCTGTTTATCCCAGTGTTTCTTAAACTTAATGTACATGAGTCACTTGGAGATTCTGTTTTAAAAAGCAGATTCTGATTCAGTTTTGGAGTGGAACCCAGGATTCTGCATTTCTGACCATCTCCTGAGTGATGTTAGTGATGCTGGTCAGTCAAGTACACTTTGAGAAGCAAGGATTTTATCCTTCCCGAGGACTCTGCTCCGTGGAGAAACCCCTGAACCTGAAGATGACAGAGCTTACTGTTCTGGTGGCTTTCATGAGTTGTGGTAACCTGCTGCCTTGATAGTACACTCAGAAAGGAGTAGGAGAGAGACTCAATGGACTCTATGTTTGTAATTGTTCTATCACTACCTTTTTACTTTCTTTTTTCCTATTATTATCCCCCTCCTGGCTTCACTTCATTTCATGTCTAACCTAACCCAGAGCATCACTTAACCACCCTCTGCCAGTGCTGTCAACTTCCTGAACTCTTGTCTTTCAATCCTACTCTGCTTATCAACGTCCAACCCTGGGTCAATATAGTCTGGCTCTGAGCTCTGACACCAGTGTATCTGAGCACTGCTGGAGAAAATGACACAGTCACTTGAATTACTGTTCAGAAACACTTTTATATGTTTCTGGTCAACTCCCTCTCCTAGTCCTCAAACCACCTCTTTTTAGGCTGCCTACACCATCTTTTCTTTCTCTTTTAGCAGATTATCAGTACATAATTTTATGTTCATATTAATATTCACAGTGATAATTTTGATTTTCAGGTGCGCATTCTTTCACCTCTTCATTTCCAAGTTCATGATCTCCATCCAGTCCTAATTCAATTAATACATCTGAAGTGCTTGGAACAGTGCTTGGCACATAGTAAGCATTAATATTATTACGATGTCGTTAGAGGACATCAAAAGCAAATCCCTCTAGTTGTGTTTTAGTTCCCATTCCTTCCTTTCTCTTCAGGAAATTAGTTCTATCAGGTTAAAGTCTCTGTCAATCTCTCTGATTCTTTTCTCTCTCCCCTGAAACATATAAGTATGCTTAGATCTTATTAATTTTATTTTTTCTTCCAGTTTTGTTGAGATATAATTGACACAGCAATTTTAAGCTTAAGGTGTACCCCATAATTACATATATAATGAAATGATTTCCATAATAAGTTTAGTGAACATCCATCATCTCATACAGATACAAAATTAAATAGAAAAAAGTGTTTTTCCTTGTGATGAGAACTTTTAGGATTTACTCACTTAACAACTTTCATAGGTAACATACAGCAGTGTTCATTATATTTATCATGTTGTATGTTATATCGCTAGTACTTATTTATAACTGGAAGTTTATACCTTTTGACTACTTTTGTCCAATTCCCCTTTCCTGTACCCCAGCCTCTGGTAACCACAAATCTGGTCTCTTCTTCTGTGCGTTTATTTGTTTTTGAAGTATAATTGATCTACAACACTATGTTAGTTCCTGATGTACAACATAGTTATTTGATATTTCTATACATTTCAAAATGATCGCCACGATAAGTCTAGTTACCATCTCTCACGATACAAAGACATTATGTTATTATTGACTATATTCCCTA